AACAAGTCAGTCTGAGGTGTGAAAACTACTGAAATTTGTTTACGATTCAATATTTTGAATAAAAAGAGGACATGCTGGCACTCTAAATTGATGCGAACAAAATTTTTTAGTCAGTATGTTCCAATATTGCTATCATTTGTATTATACAATCCATCCTTACATGAAAAAATAACTCATTTACTATGGGGCTATATAGATTTAGATAATAAAAAGCTAAGATGGTCAGTTTTGGTTGATTGGGAAAATCAATTTTATCATACTATGCGGCTGTAAAGATTTACATAATAAAGTGCTAATATAGTCAGTTTTGGTTGATGCGGACAAATAATTTTGTTAAACAAGTCAGTCTGAGGTAAGAAAAATACTGAAATTTGTTTACAATTCAATATTTTGAATAAAAAGAGGACATGCTGGTATTCGAAATTGATGCAGAAAATTTTTTGTAGTCATTATGTTCCAATATTGCTGTAATTTGTTTTATACAATCCATCCTTACATGAAAATATTACTGATTTACTATGCGACTATAAGATTTACATAATAAAGTGCTAATATGGTCAGTTTTGGTTGATGCGGACAAATAATTTTGTTATACGAGTCAGTCTGAGGTATGAAAACTACTGAAATTTGTTCATGATTCAATATTTTGAATAAAAAGAGGACATGCTGGTACTCTAAATTGATGCAGAAAATTTTTTGTAGTCATTATGTTTCAATATTGCTATCATTCGCATTAACATTCCATCCTTACATGAAAATATAACTCATTTACTATGCGGCTATAAAGATTTACATAATAAAGTGCTAATATAGTCAGTTTTGGTTGATGGGGACAAATAATTTTGTTAAACAAGTCAGTCTGAGGTGTGAAAACTACTGAAATTTGTTTACGATTCAATATTTTGAATAAAAAGAGGACATGCTGGCACTCTAAATTGATGCGAACAAAATTTTTTAGTCAGTATGTTCCAATATTGCTATCATTTGTATTATACAATCCATCCTTACATGAAAAAATAACTCATTTACTATGGGGCTATATAGATTTAGATAATAAAGTGCTAAGATGGTCAGTTTTGGTTGATTGGGAAAAACAATTTTATCATACTATGCGGCTGTAAAGATTTACATAATAAAGTGCTAATATAGTCAGTTTTGGTTGATGCAGACAAATAATTGTGTTAAACAAGTCAGTCTGAGGTAAGAAAACTACTGAAATTTGTTTACAATTCAATATTTTGAATAAAAAGAGGACATGCTGGTACTCGAAATTGATGCAGAAAATTTTTTGTAGTCATTATGTTCCAATATTGCTATAATTTGTTTTATACAATCCATCCTTACATGAAAATATTACTGATTTACTATGCGACTATAAGATTTACATAATAAAGTGCTAATATGGTCAGTTTTGGTTGATGCGGACAAATAATTTTGTTATACGAGTCAGTCTGAGGTATGAAAACTACTGAAATTTGTTCATGATTCAATATTTTGAATAAAAAGAGGACATGCTGGCACTCTTTATTGATGCGAACAAAATTGTTTTGTCATTATGTTCCAATATTGCTATCATTTGTATTATACAATCCATCCTTACATGAAAATATAACTCATTTACTATGTGGCTATAAAGGTTTACATAGTAAAGTGCTAATATAGTCAGTTTTGGTTGATGCGGACAAATAATTTTGTTATACGAGTCAGTCTGAGGTATGAAAACTACTGAAATTTGTTTATGATTCAATATTTTGAATAAAAAGAGGACATGCTGGCACTCTAAATTGATGCGAACAAATTTGTTTAGTCATTATGTTCCAATATTGCTATCATTTGTATTATACAATCCATCCTTACATAGAAATATAACTCGTTTACTATGCAGCTATAAAGATTTACATAATTAAGTGCTAATATAGTCAGTTTTGGTTAATGCGGACAAATAATTTTGTATAACAAGTCAGTCTGAGGTATGAGACAAATAATTTTGTAATATGATTCAGTTTGAGGTATGAAAACTACTGAAATTTTTTTATGATTCAATATTTGGAATACAAAGAGGACATGTTGGCACTTTAAATTGATGCGAACAAAATTTTTTATTCAGTATGTTCCAATATTGCTATCATTTGTATTATACAATCCATCCTTACATAAAAATATTACTGATTTACCATGCGACTATAAGATTTACATAATAAAGTGCTAATATGGTCAATTTTGGTTGATGCGGACAAATACTTTTGTTATAAGAGTCAGTCTGAGATATGAAAACTACTGAAATTTTTTACGATAAAATATTTTGAATAAAAAGAGGTCATGCTGGTTCCAATATTGCTGTCAATTGTATTATACGGTCCATAATGGCATAAAATTATAACTGAATTACTACGCGGCTATATAGATAACTTGATAAAGGGCAAATATGGTCAGTTTTGGTAAATGAGATCAAATTATTTTGTTTTACGAGTCATCCTGAGTCAGCCCGTCTGATATGTGTAAACTGTTTGATTTTGGTGATGATTTACTTATTTGAATACAAGGACATACTTGAACTATTTATTTGTAAAGAAAAAGAGATTTACTATGATTAATTTTCAATTAATTAAAGAAGTGTGATTACATATTAATTAACTGTATTCGCAATATGTCAATAGAAAATGACCAGTTGGTCATTTAATTTTGATGTACCTTATCATTTGATATTTTGGGTCAGTGTATCCAGGATACGATGACAATCTGCGTTAACGCGCGTTTACTACAAACAGTAACGTTTACGTGCGTTTACTTTTGACGAAAATAGAAGACGCGCATTTTTCACGTTAACGCGGAAGTAAACGCGAAAGTAAACGCCCGTTTACTTTTTATGTCTACTGAAATTTCGGAGTTAACGCACAGTTAACGCGGCGTTAACATGAAGTGCACGCGAGTAAACGCCGCGTTAACTTTTTCGGCTCGTCTACATGTAATGCTTGGTCTGCACCCAACTGTAAGTATTGCCCGTGTTTGTACGTATTATGTTAGCAGACAAAGATTTGAAGGTTTAACGTATGACATTGATATTTGCAATGCACAGTTAAGATATATATCGAACTTTTAACAAAATTATAGGTGGCACGGTAGTATATCCTGGCCCAGAAGGGATAATGATAGCTTTTTTAGAATGTTCACAACTTTGTAACACTGCTCAAAATTCTACATACACAAATCATGACCGTTTACTGTTTTGCTATCATTAAAAACCTGAGGTCACTAGTGCTTTTAAGTCTTTTGTCATGCAGGGAATACAAATTCTCAAAAATTCTCAAAAATTCAGTTTCACCTGTATGTAAAATTATTTCATATTTTTCTACACCTGTTTCATCCTTCAGTTTTGGAAAATATGTTCAGTTGATACTGTATTGTATGTCCAATAACATTGTTCATATACATTGACTTAAGTAGGGTACACAAAAGAGCAATCTAAATTCCGGAATGCAATTACAGTCCGTGTAACGTAAAAGTTAACAATACGAACGATGCCCGAATCATGTACGGACGATGCCCGAACGATGTACGTACGCTTCCCGAACGGTGTACGAATGCAAACGAAACGCTGACCGAACGTTGTACGGACGCTGAACGAATGATGTACGAACGAAACCATATACCATAAACCATACCATAAACGATAACATAAGCGCCCTTTTATTGTACATCGTATGGTTTTGCGTACATCGTTTCATTAAGCGTATACCGTATCGTTTAGCGTATTAGCGTACATCGTTTCGTTTAGCGTATATCGTATCGTTTAGCGTACATCGTTTCTCGGCGTGCATAGTTTCGTTTAGCGTATATGTTTTTTTTTAAATATAAAACATGAATGGTGTTCTGTTTAATTTTTTTATATAGGTGATAATAGGCGTAAAATTTAGATTGGATGCATGTTTCAGTTTTTAATTAATAATTTAATAAATTATAATTTGGGCTGACTCTATGTTGATCCAAAATTATTTACATAAAACGTTTGAAAAAAAAAACACTGAAATAAATTTAAACAAATTAAAAGATACGATTATGAATTTTGTTAGCCGTAGAAATACGTACTTGGTGAATGTGCGAGTAAACTGCAGTCTGCATGGTATTTAGTCAACATTTTTTGAAAATAGCCCAAGGTATTAACATTATTTTTTTTACGTAAATGAACAATTGATTTAAGATGAACTTCGGAATTAATCTAATGTTCTTACAAAAGTTTATTTGGGGTCTTAAGGTTGACCTTTTGTCCAAAAGGTTTGTTAATTTTTTTATGTATTCTCTTGTATCCCATGTATTTTAAAATCGACTGAATAGCAGTTGTATCCATATATCGTAATTAAACCAATTTTTTTAGATTATAGATTTTTTTTATTCATCTATCAAATCAGTCGAAAAAAAACAAATATTCGAGAAATTTCAAATAAAAACAATTACTCGTTATGTGCCTCATCAACCCTAAACATAAATCCCTACCGATGTACATACGATTGTGTATTGTTTTAACTATAAATGCACTTGACTTTAAACTATCATCAACAATTGTCCGGCAAAAAAACTAGACCCTCTATTCTTTAATTTTCTTATACCATTTTCCTCTGTTCTTTATTTTTCCCGTTATACTCTATTCTAATTTTATATTTTTTTTTCTTTATTTTCCTGTATCTATACCTCCTTTATTCGGAGCAACCTCACCCTAAATATACATATGATACACACGGTCTATAGGTCATCGCTTGTGCCGTGATACATGTTTGCATAACAAAGGATGTCCTTGTTCATATTTATAACATTTTAAATGTCCTCCTAATAATACATATAATAGTTGCCACTGGACATTAAACAGCTAACTCTAAATTCATCCGTCATATTCTTAGTTTTGTTATAATGTGTAAATCACACAACATGATGAACAAATAATTATTGCAGATTTTCACTGCCGAAATAATGGGAAATAATTTTAAACAAAACCACTCAATCACATCCCTACGCCACAAAGTCTTTTCACATGTAAATAAATTATTTTCATAAATCTATTTCAAAATAATTTTAAACAATTTTAAATCAAACGGTCATTTTTCTTATTTGCCAAAAAAAACAACAACATCAAACAGTTATTTTCTTTTCTTATTTTAAACAGATCGATTGTTTTCAATGGTCGGTGCCTGACAGCATCTATAAAATCTATCACCATGTTTGCCAATAAGAAAGCTTCATAGAACAGGAAAACAACAATGTCTTATAGAAATACTTCCAGGCCATATTTTCCAATTTCTGTTGTAATGTGGTTTAATGCAAAAAAGGTAACTCCTGAATACTGATTTGTACCCATCAAGCATTTGGGGTTAATAACAAATCTATGGTAGTCTCTTTTTCTTTACTCGCAAAGTATTCGACTAAATCATGTTTTATTTATGAAAATTGCTCATTGCTGACGAATGTTAAATATTGATCCCTAGATTTTCAATTGTTTAGTTGTTAGGTTACTGTCTGATCTCGCAAACCTGACATTTTATGGTCATTATGTTTTGCATCCAATTGCACCAATTTATTAAAAAGATATTAACGCGACACCGTACGAGAGTCGTTACTTTACATAAACTACTAGTATTTTTTTTTTCTATAACGAAATACGAAACCACTTCTCGCAATTCGCTTTGGGGTAATTGTGCTTCTCTTTTGACAAAATATGGCCTTGTCTCAAAAACAAAAAGTATAATATAATATAGAGTAATATATAAAACTGGACTAGAGTGAAGAGTTAGGAAGTAGGAATTCCTAATTTTAATTGAATGTTCTAAATCTTTGTGTATTTCTGATAAATGATTGTACAGACTCAAAAAAGTCTTTGTTTTGCTGAAATGAAAGGTCACCGTCACCAGCCAATAGAAGCAAAATGGGTATAGTAGATCTTTCTAATTTTGAAAACAATATTTCTGTTGCTTCGTTGATAAAAGGGCACTTAAAAAATAATGAATACTATCCTCAACAGGATGGCCACAACTGCATGCGGGATTGGGTTTAATATTAATAAGGTTTAAATCTGCATTTGAAGAACTGCACCATATTTCTCAACTGTGTATCAATGATATTAAGATTTCTATCACCACAACTGAACTAGGAAGTGCGTACTGTGAATAAATTACTATACTCAGTTTACTTTTGCTTACAACAATTTATCACATACATGTATAATACCACGTTAACAATTAGGCCCGAGAACACAGTTATTTCGTAGTGCATTTCTTTTAGACAATAAATTCAAATTAAAAAAATCGCACCTGCTCTATCTCAAGAAAGATTTTTACAGTGTAGTGTACTACTATTGGGACAAATAATATCAAAATTATAGTAACTTCTACCAGCTCCAGAGGAGGGGCGACAGCCTTAGGTGCTGTGTGCAAATTTTTGTAGGTCACGTGGTACGATTTTAGCGTCTCTCGACAATTTTGAATCTGGAAAAGATCGATCTGTTCATGTTTTTATATCAAATATACTCTCTTGCACTCGCAGAAAATATAGAAAGTTTTGAAATAAAAAGATTAATCAATGATAGAAGATCACTTTATATGAAATATTTTCTTTATGTTTTTTTATCTTTTAAGTAAATTCTATCAATAAAGAAATGCACTGTAATGGCGGGAAATTTTATTCGATCTCTGCGAAATCACGAGGCACAGATTTTTGTAAATTTTACAAATGTCAGCATGTGAAAATCATTCAAATTTATGCCAATTAAAGAACACTATTCAAACATTCTAAATCTTCTTAAGTCTCCTTAAGTCTCCAGCCGTTGCTTTGTAATAAGTCGCTAAAATATGATTTCCGGTAAGTAAAATATCAATAATATTTCAACGGTCAAATCCGCTAGTAATTATGTTATTTTAGGCATATAAACTCTTATATGTATTTTAATCATTTTGAAAACAAAATGAAAAGTTTGTCTTATGAATAACCATCATGATAAATATAGTTTTTTTTCATAATTGAATCGTGCATTATTTGTGTATTGGATTGCTTAATTGCCTTCTCTCTAGTGTTATCTCTGTTTTGTTAACTGACAAATGACGAAATAATGCAATATTTAAAATTAAGTATTTTACAAAACTTTGTCCCGATTAAAAACTTAAAACCGATTGAATAAATTGAGAATTCAGTGATTATCGATGTCGAAATTAGCCCTTGGTAATAAACAGTTAGTTTGGGTATAAATATGTTTATTGTCAAGAAATAACTAACAAATTTGTTTATTATGTATGTACAAAGTATATGTATATTGCATGATCAGCCCTCCTGTATATTACTTGTTTTTTTTAATTGATTCAACAAATTTCGTTTGTCCAGGTGTCATTAACGGTGATGTCAACACCACGAGTAGTTTGATATAAATGACACAATACCACCGCGACCGATCGATAATAGAAGACAAATCTGCGTGCCGTGTGCAGAATGTCGTTCCTCCTCTATACCAGCTCTAACTCAAAATATTGACAATTCTGTGATAAGGGGGTCTAAAATTCAGTTTGACAGCTTCAGACGTACTAATGTTTTACCTATTTTAACTGGACCAAATCACTCCTTAACATAAAGATTCAGCACCCAAATTGTTTTAACATGTAATTTCATCCCCCTTCTTGATATTTCGTGCATTAAATTTCAAGAAATAAATTGGGAAAGTATATCCAAAAAAAAAAATGCAAGTTATACACTGTTCACACTAGAGACTATATTCGTAGGGTGACGGTGTTTGACAGTCTGAAGGAGACAGCATCAAGGATTTAATAACTAAAAGGCAAAGCTTTTGTTGTACTCAATCTTACTTTAAGTTTTCTTTATTATATTCAATAGATATATATCCGAGATACGATAATGTAGTTTTCTTTTTTATATCAAACCTGATCATCTATGATATATATATGGAACTTTTTAACGACCTTGGCTGGCTATACAGCCCTTGCACGGTCGGTTCATCTATGATGATGATGGGAGTTTTTAACGACCTTGACTGGCTATACAGCCCTCGCACGGTCGGTGTGCAAATGATGTCATCTATAATAACAGATGGAAGTTTTTAACGACCTTGACTGGCTATACAGCTCTAATCTATAATGGGATATTATTCCACTTTTTATACATATTTGATAGTTTAATCAATATCTGATTGGTTGAGACTATCCCACGTGTTGTTGAACAAATCTTCATATTCCATTCTGAGGATCATATTCCCCTCTGAAATGTCGGGATAACATCGTGTGACGTTACGCGCGGTTAAAGTACATAACGTTTTGAACTTCTTATTCTTCTTAAAATAGCGATAGCAATAATCATTATCATGTTCAAATTTATTTCAGACGATAAAACAAAAAGACTTATAATTAAATTTTGATCCGTACTGTTTATCAATGGGTATGTCGTGTTTTGTTTAACTTATAAAAACAAGCGGATAAGAAAACAAAATGTATGCAAAATAATATTTAATGTATTGATAGTAAACAAACCATAGGCAGTGGAATAAAACATTCATTTCCCTTTGCTTCGGGAGATATGAAGATTTGCTCACCCTCGAAAAATCAGAGTTCCCTCGGGCAGAGCCCTCGTGAAATATGAATATTCTTGGGTGAACAAATCTTCATATCTCCCTCAGACACGGGAAATAAATGTATAATGTCTAATGAGAGAATTTAACCAGAGACTGAATAACGTAGAAATAACAAATTAAAGGTCACTGTACGGCCTTCAACAATGAGCAAAATCCATACAGCATAGTAAGATATTAAAGAATCCGAAATGACAAATGTAAAATGCACTCAACACTGTTCAAACATCACCGCACGTCAAACTTTGAACAACAGAAAAACTTGATTGGACATTGGTGACAATTTGTCACGCCCTCATGAATTGGCGTACATGTACGTCCTATCAAATACCTTCAGAAAGCTTCCACTGAAATTATTTTACACACAAGTAACTGTGTATTTTACTGATTTTCTTAATAAAAAAAAACAAAATGTATTTTGCGTTAAATGTGCAATGAAGCCACGGATTCGTAATCTTCAAAAAATAGTTCAGAAACGGTTGATAAAATGTGGAATGTCTGAATAGAAATATAACAATTATGTTCAGTGCGCGTTTATAAAACGTACTCTATTTGGACATTTTAAGATACTATAAGTACTTGTTTTCTGTGTATAGAATTTTAGAGGTCAATACGACTTTTCATAAGTTGGATTTTCAATTTTAATAAAAAATGAGTTGGGTTTTCTTCTTTTCTTTAAATTTATATCATGATTTTTTGATATTTCCCATTATCTTCTGAATATTTTTTAAGATGAATAATTTAAAATTTGTATACCAAACATTTTTAATTTTACTCTGCGTTTATAAATAGCATTGAAAGTACAACATCTTATAAACGATAAACATTGATAGAGAGTTGTCTCATTGGCACTCATACCACATCTTCCTATATCTATTAACAATCGAAACCCCTGAAATATCGTCTCATGACAAGCACGAAAAAATGGCGAAACTGAACTTCCAACAGCGGGCGATGATTTTTAATTATACAATATTCTTTCAATGGATTTTTTAAATGCAATGTAGAAATTATCAATTAAGACATTTTTTATCCCTTTTGAAATTACTTAATCGAATATGAAGTCACATGCACGAAGAAGTTTGTCTGACGTGAAAATACGTAAGTCCCATATCTCACGGCTACATGGACACACACAGTGTACTGATCTTAATAATATATTAATGTTTGCAAATTCGTTGTAAGAAGAAAGACCTTTTAACTTTATATCACAATAAGCATATCTAAAGTAAGTCGTCACGTAGCTCATTTATGAAGAAATGTCAAACTGCCAATACTGCTAGTTTGTACTCTATTGTCGGAGGACAACTGATTCAAAATAAGGGAGCTACCATTTATTTTTAGGGGCGGGGCTGGTGGCTAAGGGTGGGTGGGTGGGGGGGGGGGGGGTGGGGTGGGGTGGGGGCTAGTATGAAACTTGAAAAAAGGGCATGACAGGAGTTTAGAGAAAAAAAGGAAGGATGGGAATCTTGCCAAAAAGAAAAAGGCATGATGACTTTATGTAAAACAAGTCAGGAAAAATTAATAACTAAGAAAGGAAGGACCGAATAGAGTGTAAAATAAAAAAGCAGGACTATATTTACATTGAGTTTACATTTATAGAAAAATGCAGGACATCATTTTTCATCATATTACGCGTCATTGATAATCTGATCACTACAACGTTTTTACAAAATATTCGTTCCCGTGAAAACTAAGATTTGTTAA